GGCTCTTGAACGTTACACCCAATATCTTGGATAATTGGTGGTCGGAATTTGTTCTCCAACGGCTTTTATGTTCAGTGGAGACTTCATTTCAGTCAGAACCCATCCTTATTCACTAATTATCCGCTATTATCACTAAGTATTCATATAGATGCTATACCGAAACATTGGCCTATTTTTTTGCTAAGAAGTTTTTTTTACCCATCAATAACCAGAAATGTCTTTCAAATACTTTGGACCATTGGAAATAGGTCGAGGGCCTTCGTATGAGGAATATGTCATAACCATGACATAATTATGTCATGTGTCATAACATGGACTTATAGAAACAATTTTGGCTTTTACTTCTGGAATGCTAAAATTAACGTTCCTTCGGTTGGAAATGCGGCTTACATCATTACATAATTTTGTTTGTGAAATAATTCCTTTCCCTATTTCCATCCATAATAATTCGAGTTACCGCATTTAATAAACAGAGTTGGTCCCAGCAAATCCTCCCATGATCTGAATTGGTCTCAGCAATAAACCTATATTCTAGGGCTAAGTTTAGACAACTAAATCCACTTGATCTCCAACGTTAATTCCATTGCGTATACGTCACGTTAATCCAGTTCACGTATACGCTATGGAATTGACGTTTGAGATCGAGTGGATTTCGTAAATCTAAAAGTACCTTAATTTCATCCATTTCATTAATATGCAATGTGGCATCACTGTTTACCTTACTTCTCTCCCTTGTCTAACATATTTTTTTTATCATCAACATACCTTTTGGCATAATCTCTTTCGTCTCTTGGAAATGTCAAATTTTCTATATGTAAGCAACAGTAATAAAAAGAACAGCAGAAACAACAACGACAATAACAATTGCTACAACAACAAAAATTACCACATCCAATCACTTTGTGCAAAGAATGACAGAACATAGCGTATGTCAGACGTTACGGTGTGTGCTGCTGTTTTTTTTTGTGACGGTTATGAAGGATGAGGGTGCTGCACAGACAACAGCAACAACGACGACGTCAACGGCGCACAAGTGAATAGCAAACCACGACACAAATATTTCAGCTGCACAACCAGAAAAAATACCCCAACTAATGACAACAATTGCCAAGTGTCATTAACAAATTAGTGAAAAGAAATAAGAATCTCTCGCGCAAATAAGACCGAAATAATAAAAAAAAGTAAATAAATCGATTAACAAAACTAAAATATTTGTGTGAAACAAACGGTAAACATAAACAAAATAATTGTTAAAAATGGAAAGAGTGAAAAACTATATAGTTTTTTTTTTATAAAAAAACATGATTAAAATTGAAACAACTAACATAGTGATGATGGTGTGTGGTGCTCTATGGTTAAGAGAGAGAGAAAGTAAAAGTGTCAAAAAACTGTGCCGAAACATATGTTTTATCCAACAAATTTTATACTAAGAAGAATTTTATTTAATTACAAGTGTGCATATTTCGCTTGATGGAATATGAAGTGAAAACTACTTTTTCAAAAAAGAAGAAGAACAAATTGGTGAAGAAAGGGGTCGTTTTTGCCTTGTGTGTGCATTCCTTGACCTGTCTGTCTGCCTGCCTGCTGTTGGATGCCGTCGTTTTTTTTCCGATCTCCTCACATTTCTTATTCTTTTAAGGTTATGTGTGGGGGCTGCTGTGTCTATCTGTGTATGCGACGAGTGTGGGTGGACAGCAACAACGGGATGACGTTTTGGGTGGGTTGGTTGGTCGATCGGATGGTTGCTTGAATTGTGAATTCAATTGAAATTGTGTGTTTTTTTCTTAATTTTTGCCAAGATTACGCTGCCGCTGCTGTTTGGAGGTGAATTTTGAGTGAATGTACTTGGATTTTTATAATTCGGCATGAGTTTCATAAATTTTTTTTGTTGTTCCTTTTTATTTTTAATTGTAGAATTTTGTTAACAGTTGGTGGGTGGGTGCACAATATCGTCCGACCATAACCACTCAACCATGTTAATATGATTTATGATCACAGAAAATCCGTTTGGGGAATGTGTGACACATTTTTTTTGCTGTGTTTATACACAAAAGTAATTAACAAACAAAAAAGCATGATGTCTCGGAGAAGTGTGTCATTTACCGAATTTGGTGAAATTGCATGCATGCTGCTGCTGGCGAACAGACATTGTGATGAAATATTCAGTTGTTAATTGGAATCCGCCGAAGAATTTCAATTGCAAGATAGCAATTATTCCAAAGCATCAAGGAATAGAAAATAATTTATTTTAGAGACAACTATTAGAAAATGTTAAAAAAATTACCGGGGAAAGCCCTGTATGAATTAGCAGGGTTGCTGAAGTTGGTGAACCAAATGCTTAGTGGCTAGTAGACACTGTGATGAAATTTTTAAGTGTTAGTTGGAATGTTGAAAGGTCACACATAATATTTTAAAGAACTTAACTAGAACAGACCATGTATCCGAATAGTTATGATTGCTCATAATAAAGAAATTCGTTAACGTGTAGATCATGTAGAAGACCACACATATTAGGGCTAAACTCTGAAAGTAGGGGAGGTAATGGAAGAGAGGAAAGATAGTGAAAGTTTAGAGAGTATAGAAAGATGGTAATTTTAGCCATGTTAAAATCTTTACAAAGCTTAGAATCTGCTTAGGGTCTAATCCGGCGAAGAATGCTAGATATCAATTTCATATTTTTGCCGAACTCTCTGCTTCTTCTGCCAATCAGAGATGGACACCTACAGGGTATATGTTAAATTGTTTCTAGCTCGTCCTCGTTCTCAGTGAGAGATCTAATCTTGCAGTGACCTCTTATGATCCCCACAACGATTTTAATCTCAACAGCGAAGAATTCTAGCCAGATGATTTTCGAAATCATGCATCCAGGTTCTGATTACCATCTGCCGTCGACTACCTCGTGTTGCCTCAAACGAATTTTGCCAATATAGTGGCCAATGGGCGGTTGTACAGATCACTCAATCGAAAGATTGGACGACTGTGAACCCCTTCGTGCAAGCTCGCCGGCAATCACATTCCCATCTATGTTGCTTTGTCCTGGAAACCAACATAATTGCAGCATTGAATGCTGCTTGTGGTGTGTTTCTTAGCGCTCCGGTTATCAGGATCGACGCCGATCGCTGTACGATACTCATTTTAGCCAGCAGTATCTTCTTGTTCACTCCTTGCCACCATACAAGGCAATAATATGTAAGACTGTGGAGTACAACCGTCACATATAGCCAGTGTATAGAATTCAGAAACCCAAGGTTGGCGTATTTTTCCGTTGCCGTTCGTCCTTTATCTTCATGATATTCAACAAACATGGGAAAGCATAGATATCTTAATGTATGCGGATAATTGTGCAATCATAGCATCGGGTTCCATTGTTGATGTCATAATAGGGAGAATAAACACCTACTTAGCTCATGTTCTATGTATCTGAGGAATACGTAAATATCCTTCAACAAACTCACAGCTACACTTTTCACCACCCGGACTCCTGAAATGAAGGTCCAACTGAACATAATGGTCGATGAAGAATAAATTTCATCGACCATTATGATATTGAATGTAACATTCGATATTTGCGATAAGACGAGATGTAGGTATAAGATCGTCAAGTTGCTGGCCGTTAGAACTTGGGGCTTTGATAAGTTGATTTTAAAATCTTTATAAAGCAATAGGCTGGTCAGTTTTGGTAAGCTATGCGGCGCCAGTGCTGATTACGAATGTAATTGACACGCAGTGAAGGAACATTCAGATCTTCCAGAATGCCTCAAAATCAACACGCCTATCCAGCAGGTCGGAATAGCAATCATATAAATGCAGTGGCTAAGGCAGTCCCAACAAATCCGTATAATTCCGTAAATTCACAGCAGCAGAGAAGAAGATGCTGCCCAGACAAACACGAGTAGCACAGCTAAAATCAGACGAGCTTTTGTAGATTAGATTTGACATATAACCCTTTCGGTGTTCCCTAATAAGATCATTTAAACATACACAATTGAGTATTAGTATTTTTAAAAAGATATATTCAGGCATATTTGCTTTGTATCTATTTTAGAAAATAGAATATCGAACAGAAAATAGAATATCGAGGGATGTGCGACAGCCGTCTGGAAGCAGCCCATTGTTGTAAAGAGATGAATATGGAAAAGAAAAAGGTTAAGGCTGGTAACTTAGCTATGACAAGTTTTTGTGGCGTATCTCGAAGAAAAAGTTTACCAAACATTTGATGAATTCTCTTTCGAAGCATGAAACATCAACAGGGCAGATGTTCGATACTTTTTCCGCCTTCTCTGTATAAGAACACCTTCTGGACGTCATGGTATTATATTAAAGAAGGGGACCTTCTGGTCTTGATATCAAAATAGATTCTGATACCTCAGTGAACTGTGTTGATCCCTACAGTCTTATTTATATGCCATTAGTCGTTTAAATGTTATAATATGATGTACTGTCCTGGGATAATCTTACTGTGTGCTGTGCTTTCCTTTCATATATTTCTACACACAAAATGTGTCGATATCTTTAAGTTTTTTTTATATATTTTTCAATGATTTGTAATCATATATTTTATTTCTCCCTCCTTTTTCTTCTTCTTCAGAATGTCCTTTCCAGATAAAGTTTAAAACTTTCACTAACGGACAGCAGTGAAACACTCACTCACAGACACACCCATACCTACATACAAACAGCAACAAAATGTAAATTATTCAATATCCCACAATAACAACTAGAAAAGTGTTCCTTAATCCTGATAGAGAGAGAAAAAAAACAAAACAAATCCAGATATGTGCTTGGCGCAATAATGCTATCCCCTAAACGTAGTGAAGAATGTCCAGATAAAACATAAACTAAGAAGAAGAAGTAAAATAGCACAACAAACGTCCTAAAGAACACTCCACAAAACTAAACAAACCAGCAACAATACTTTAAGCCTAACAACAAACAAAACAACAACAAACAACTCTAGACAATTCAATTAGCAAACATACAACGTCGTGTCATTATTTTCTTTCTATATACCAACGTATGTTCTTTGGTGGGCAATTTCTAAAATTGCAACACCAAAAAACACCAACAGCCAAAAAATTCCGAAATCTTCAAGTTCTGCAACAGCTCTACAAAAGCTTAAAGCCAAAGCTACTGGCACCACAGTAAAACGACACAAGAAATCCAAGAGTCAAACAGCAGCCGCAACAGCTAATAGCGTTGTCGGTGGCGGATCGTCATCCGTATCGGCATCATCATTACCGTCCTTAGGTTTAGCACAGAGTGGCTCCTTTGCTGGAGTCAGTGGCACCGAACACCACAACACAACATCGAATTCTTCTTCGGCACCGGGCCACGGTTATAGTTATCAACAACGCAGCAGTGGCGCCTATAAAGGTGACCTTGGATTTGGTGGTGCAGGCGGTGCAGGGTATAATAGTGCAGCCGCCGGTGACGAAATTACCGCTACGTTTTCTAAAACAACCGTTTCACCTAATTCGGGTCGAACTGCCGGATCATATCAGCAATATAATCAAAACAACAGCAGCAACCATCATCAATCACCATACCAACAACAACATACCAATAGTGCCAATTTTACAAATTCATCCTCCTCCTCGACAAACATTTCACCTGCGATGATGATGAAACAAAAGTCCTCACGTTTAAATATTGGTGATGAGGTGCGTGAGCTAAAATTAGGATGTACATTCAATTCGAAGAATACAACGAATGCATTTCACACTATAAAATGTAAGTACTGATTGTGAAGATCTTATTTTTACATTATTACAAACATTAATTAATATGAATCGAGTTTATATAGGGGAATAGGAAACTGAAATGGTCATCTACTAGATAGGACCTGTGGGCCTTCTATATAAGACCATTAGGCCTTTTATACGATTAGACCTGAGTAGACCTATCCTTCTATATAAGAAGGCCTTTTATATGAGGCCTTCTGTAATAGAATACCTTCTGTCCTTCTGTATGCAAGACTTTCAGGACTTCTGTATAAGAATACCTTCGGGGCTTCTATATGAGCAGACCTTTTGGCCTTTTGTATGACAAGTCCTTTAGGTCTTCTATATAAACAACCTTATGGCCTTCTGTATCAGAAGACGACCTTGTAGCCCTCTGTATAACAAAACTTTCAGGTATTCTATATAAGAACCCCTACTGCATTCTATATAAGAAGACGTTCTGTCCTTCTATATGATGAAACCTTTTGGACTCCCATTGAGAAGACTTTCTGTCCTTTTATATAGAAGTCCTGCTGAGTTTTCATATAGAAAATTCACTGGCCTATGTCCAATGTCTATGTATATGTCCAATGTGATAAAAATAGAGTTTAAATTTGTTAAATGGTAGCCAATCACTTAAAGTTAGCTTATCACTCTCGTGATAGTTCCTTTTTATACCCTTCACTGTGGTACAGAGTATTATGTCTTTGTAACCGGCAAAAGGAAACGAGATGGACACATGGTTCCTTTTGAGAATAGGCATAGAATCACTTATTGAGTCGATTTATGCATCTCCGTGTATTTTTGTGAGCAAAGTACAGGTCACATTTATGATCCGAATTGGATGAAATTTGGCACAGTTCATTTGTTTGGCCCAAAGACCAATCCTATTGAAATTGGAGAAAATCGGTTCAGATTTAGTTATAGCTCCCAAATATATTTTCGTCCGATTTTATCTAAATGGTGCTCCAAACGCCCAATATTTGTCCGATTGAGACAAAATTTTGCATAACGTGTGGAATTGAGACTAGGGTAGGGTGTGTTAAGTTTCATTGAAATCGGATCAGATATAGAAATGGCTTCCATATATAACTTCGTCCGATTTTATGTAAATGGTGCACCAAACTCCCAATTTGTGTCCGATTGTGACGAAATTTGGCATAACTTATGGAATTTAGACTAGAATAGAGTGTGTTCAGTTTCATTGAAATCGGATCAGATATAGACATAGCTTTCATATATAGTTTTGTCCGATTTTATGTAAGTGGTTCACCAAACTCCCAATTTTTGTCCGATTGTGACGAAATTTGGTATAACGTATGGAATTGAGACTAGGATAGGGTGTGTTAAGTTTCATTGAAATCGGATCAGATATAAAAATAGCTTCCATATATAACTTCGTCCGATTTTATGTAAATGGTGCACCAAAACTCCCAATTTTTGTCCGATTGTGACGAAATTTGGCATAACTTATGGAATTTAGACTAGAATAGAGTGTGTTCAGTTTCATTGAAATCGGATCAGATATAGACATAGCTTTCATATATAGTTTTGTCCGATTTTATGTAAATGGTTCACCAAACTCCCAATTTTTGTCCGATTGTGACGAAATTTGGCATAACTTATGAAATTGAGACTGGAGTAGTGTGTTCAGTTTCATTGAAATCGGCTCACATTTATATATAGCTTCGTCCGATTTTATGTAAATGGCGTACCAAACTCCCAACCTTTGTACGATTGTGACAAATTTTACGTTTGGTGGCGTTATATGAAATATTGCAGAGTGTATTTGATTGAAACTGGTTTAAATCGGTTTAGGTTAGATGTAGAGGTTCACACTTTTACCTGAAGTGCCTGGGTGGGATCTATCCTATCTATGGCAGGGGTATTATCTACGACGGGTATGATCTTCGTCTCCTCATGAAGATGGTACACTGGTTTCATATGATCTAAGGAAGGCATTTTGGCTGCTTAGAATGATCTTCTACTGCCTAACACCGATATTCACAAAGCACTCTGACACCGCATTACTTATTGTTTTATAAAAGTTTAACAACGTTTCCTTGTCGGACATGAGAACATTCTCGTGTTATTGTCATTTTTTGAGTCTTTTTATGTCCCAGAGGACCTGTCCTTGTATTTTTATAAACAAATGACATGTCACATTTATTATCCTATTGCGATGGAATAGGTCATAGCTTATTATATAGCACCAATATAGAATTTCAACCGATCTCGCTACAAAAAACTTTGACTGTCCGATCAATACGAAAATTTGCATAGACTACCAAAATGGGATTAAAATGTATAAGATGACCTGAAGGTTCTAACGATGAACATCCTCAGTCAGTAGGAGGTATAACTGATACCAAAGAGCCACACTGATTCATCTCTCGGTATCAAGTCGGTCAATTATTAACAAATGTCGAACGACTTACTTCGTTTCCGATATCTTGGATGCTTGCTGAAGGTTTGCCTTACGTCTTCTCTTTATTACTCTTAGTAGAGGCCTTTATCGATGCAACCGAAGGAGTTTGCTAAACTACAAGCGGAAGGGGTCCCTTCCCGGCTTATGGCTGCTCATCCAAGGACCCGCACATCCTTCACAGCTACTGGTTGTGTTTGAAACTGCGTTCATCCCTTTAGTTGATTGTTCGGATTTGATCATCACCTATTTTACTGTCATTCTGATTTGTTGCTCGAAGGGAGTTTTCGTCACAGTTGCCTTTCTTGGGGCATTTTTACTGGCTCTCCTTGTGACAACTTCAAATGTGGTCACAATGATCACTAGACATTTTGGGGTCCTTGGAAAGTCCTGATTGATTTTACTTTTCAACTTTGCTTGGGCTTCTCTCAGTTTTCTCCTCTCTGTCTCTCTGTGGGCGACTTAGACCCTTTTTACCTTCCATCGCAATTGTAGATGGTGGTAAGGATCTGTCTGATTTTTATCTTCCAGCTTTAGCCACCTTTGTACGCGACATAGGGATTACTTTAATCCAATTCAAGTAGGGTCCGTATATAATTTTTTTTTATCGATTAAAATGTGATTCTTAAGAGCATCTCTTCTTCTATATACCTTCCAAACTCGAACCAATTCATTACCAGTTTTCTTACCTTTATATTAATTTCATATTTCTCATTTTCTTTTTTTTTCAATTTCTTTTTCAGATGATTTTAAACCTGCTAGTGTGGATAAAAATCGTGTTGCTACAGTAGATGTTGGCTCAAACAATCAAGTTACTGTTACTGTGCCAAATTTAGGTGAGTCTCAATTTGTTATGGTTCACATATTTAACAAAGTGTTTATATAATAATTAGCTTGACGACGAAGGCTATTTAAAAGCAATTCCAAAAAAACGTAAACAATTAATGCAGGCAAGCAAAAACAACCTGACTTCTGATAAGTGCCACAAAGTCTAGAAGAATTTTTCCACAATCAGCAATATTCTATTTCAAAACAAAATTAAAGAAAAAGCAAACGCATGCAATCTAGGTCTAGTGTAAAACGACAGTGGAGTATTATTTTCAATCAGGGTCAGAAATTGGAAACTTTTGAATTTAGATTTTCAATTTTTGATTTTTATTCTCCCTCTTCGATTTATATTTCAAATTTTAAAAGTCCCCCCACCACATGCCGAATATATTTTTAATAGTTTGTTGACATGTAATTGTTGTGTGTTAATTTTAGGCGGCGACCAATATTCGCAATGAAACCACAACAATAACAACTTTGTTGTTCAAAAACCTTTTTTTGTTTTGTTTTTGGTGGTATCCATAACACACGCCATGTCTCAAATAACAATATAAAACGGACCGTGTTGATCATATATAAGGAGATATAACAAAAAAACCAACAAAAAGTGGAGAGGAAATAGAGGAGTAAAAAATGTGAAGACGACACCTTATTAAAATGAGAAATACTCGAATGGATTTTTATTTCCGTTTCATTTTGTCGAAATCTTTGCGGAATTTCCAACCTCTTTTCTTTTTCAATTGATATCCATTTCATTTCTTTTTTTCCAACAACATTAGTGGCCACTTCTTATCTCATGGGTTTTTTGCGCATTTCTTTTTAATTCCAACCAAACCAAAACATGGCATACCAAACATAGCCACCATACATACCACCACTAACACCACCACTCTACTTCTTCTGTTGTTATAGTTCAAAAAATCCCTTTCACTTTTTTCAGCAGTTCATTTTTTTCGTCTTTTTTTCATTCATTCATTGAAATATTTAATTGTAGTTCCTCTCCTCCTCCCCTAACCACGTTTTTAGTTTTTGGGACCCAATACATTTTGTGTGTGGCATATCGGCATGCTTTTTGTTTTATTTATATTTATTTCTTTTTGTTTTTAATTTAAAAACAAAATGTCAGTAATAAAATGGTTATGCAAATCTTGTTTTGATTTTCTTCTTACCACAATGATTGTGTTGCGTTGTTGTTTCTTTTTTATTTGCTTTATTATATTGGAATTTCCTGTTTTTTTAAATTTATTTAAACCAAGCCGAACTCAAATCATTAATTAAGATTTTGTGGTTTCTAGAAAATTACCATAGATTAATGATGTCGGACTTCTTTAGGCAAATTGTTACAAGGTTGTTGTTGAAAAATTATTTCAAACTAATTAGATAATTACAGAAAGTAATTGAAATAAAAAAAGAAAAATTGGAATAAAAAAAAGAAAAACGACATATCTTTGGTATACGAGGGAATCTCTGAACGAATGAGAAATCATTGGCACTATGTTCCAATGTAAAGGAAGATAAATCAATATCACCACGTCGTGGTGATATCGGTCTACTCCTGGTACCTCCCACACAAAAGGGCTAAAATTCTGCAAAAACATTTCTTTAATAATTCTGTTTAATATAATTTTGAACAACCTATTATCTTTACCAATCATTGATCATGTTGGAAGATGGGATCCATTGTTACACTCCTTCTGGAATCTGAGGGTATACATCTGTGAGCAACGCCTAATGTCTTGTTTCTTTTCAGTTTTATAAAAATCTTGACCAAGCCTAAGTTAACGACATTTTTACTTGCTTTTGAGTTACCGCGTCAAATTATTAAGCGTTGGCATACATTTCAGAATTGTTTAGAGTTTTACGTTGGGGTCATTAGTCCTGCAATTTGGCTGATTTGTAGTTCATACTTTCAACATATCTTAATTCTTCTTCCTGGTAGTTTTAAATGACTTCGATTTCGTTCGCAATGAATTCCATTCTATGTTATTTTCTAATTTTGCGTTTTATCTAGTATACCACAGCGTAAACATAGTTTATTCTGATCACTTTGACAAAAACCAAAACATTCTTCAAATAAATCGATATTAAATAAAGAATTGTTACCCTTATTCTGATCGAGAAAATTTGGAAAATAATAAAAATAATAACTTTATAAATATTTTACAATATTATACAACAAATATAAGATAGGCTTGTTATTACCTTCTTCCCAATTTTTAAAATTCTTAACTACCGCCAATGCGTGTGCCCCATTTTTTGCTCAATTCCAATATGGTTTATTTAATTTCATTTCAATATTCTAAAATAAAAAATATACCTATATAATAAAAATGAAAACCATAAAACCATCCACACCTGCATTAAGTGAAAAAATAAAATACAAAACAAAAACGATTTGCACACACATGGTGGTAAATATAAAACAGCCATGATGAAAAAATTGTGATAAAAAACAGAGCAAAAAAACTCAATAAAAAATTATAAAAGACATCACAAAAATGTGATGGTGCTGCCGCTACTCTGTTCTGCTAAGATGGGGGGCCAAACCGCCTACCAACCAACCATCCAACCAGTCAACAACAATAGCCGACGAAAAAAAGTTGACAACAACAACTCAGACATAAAGTTTTTTTTTGTACGTTATCAGCCTCGAACTTTGTGTTATGAAATTTTAAATTGCACTTTTTTCTGAGTTTTGTTTTTGTGCTACCTATTACCACCACGACCACCTATCTACCTATTGCTGTTGTTGATGACGGATTTATTATTATTTAAAATGCAAGATAATTTTGTTTTGTTTAATTTTTTTTCACTTTAACATTGAAAAATGTTCGAATTGATTGATAAGGTGTTTTCGATGATGATAGGTGTGAAGGAATATATATTTGGATGAGACGATTTTTCCTGCACAAAGGTTGTTTAGAGGATTTAATGTGATTTTGAGCCATAATTGTTATAAATGAATAGATTTCTAGAAATTTCTAGATAATGAGACCGCAGCAAGGTTGGCTCCTTTCCAGAGCGCACCAAAGCCGCCAACATTTTTCACGAGGAAATCTTTAGATTTCCTGTTCAAACAGTTGATGACTTTGGAATCATTCCGCATGAAGGCACTACCAAACTGACGATTACCCTGACGATTATCCACAGACGATAGCCGACCGAAGGGCTCTTTCAAAGAGCAACCAATGACTATCACTAATTCTGCCATGAGAATCAGATTTGTCAATGATTGCCACTTGAAGGTCTTCGTCCGCAGCTACCATGGTCGGTCTGTCATATGTCTTACGCTGTCTATGGCTACGAACCTTGGAGTTTTTTTTCCAGAGGACGTCTGTACTCGACTTTTTCTCCGCCGTTTGTTGTCCAGCGACAGCCGCATATGAGGTAGACGGGTCAGCCAGACGCGAAGTCATCGTCTTCTTGGGTGAAGGTTGCGGACTTCCTGAAGAGCGGATGCGCTTCACAGATTTGCTCTGTGGGGCGGCATTTGCTCTCCCAGGAGACGATGTTTCCTTACCGGACTTTCCCTTCTTCCTATTTCGACCACTGGTGGATCCACCCAAAGCTTTAGCTTCACCTTTGTCGCTAGGCGTAGAATCGGGCTTTGAAACAGAGCGCCCTGCACACGTAGATCACCCTTATGGGTGACATTTTGTTTCGGGATGTTCTCAGTAGCCTTTTCCTTTGCCTTTGCAGAAGTCGGCTTAGCACCTTTGTCAGAGACAGTGGGCTTCGCCGATTCCACCACTTTTATGCGAGCACTAGGATTCGGGAGGGAGATCCTGTCCATCTCGAGTTCATGATGGAGAGCGTGCGGATAGATTCTATCGGACTTCGCTACGAATCTCATCTTGCCCTTGGGCTCCGCCGATTCCACCACTTTTATGCGAGAAGTAGGATTCTGAAGGGAGATCCTGTCCATCTCGAATTCACGATGGAGAGCTTGCGGATAGATTCTATCGAACTTCCTTACGAATCTCATCTTGCCCTTGATGAGGTGAACCTCCCTCTCCGAAATCAAATTCGCGTCTCGCCCCACGAATTTGCGGAGATACGAAACAGCACGTTTGTAGTGTTTCGCATCAGCTACTTCTCGGGCCTTCCCAACATTTGAGCCGCTGTCCGTTGCTGGGGTCTCGACAGATTCCCCATCGTCGGACATCGCCTCCGTCGCAGATTGCCTCTGAAGTTTATTGTCGGCAAGTGCCGACACAGGACCTGTTGTAGTCAGACTTGAAGTCGGTCGGTCAAAAGGTTCTGCGCTTCTTTCGTTAATACTACAAAAATCCCTGTGTAGTCTTGGCTGGGATCACCGTGGTGTCCAGCTCATCATCAGTTAGGGTGAGATTCAGTAGCAGTTCCTCCGGAAGCGTATCCCCACATTGCTCTTCCGGTATCAGTCTGTCTAACTGGTCGATGATTTCCTTACTTTGCCCCTCTAGACTATCGCGGATATCGTTTAGAGTCCCGTGTAGGTCGTCCCCTCCCAGAACTACAGTCCTGTCAGCCAGACACTGATTTTCATCAGTCTTGACCTGCTCATTTGCCAAAGGAATAGCCATTCGTTAACGTTCGGATTTGAAATTGATGCACTTGTAACAGATACATCTGCAGGTGCCAAAGCATCCAAACCTAGAACAGCCGGATCACAATCGCTTAATCTCGACGACACGTGGCTTGTGACCTCATCAACGATTGCCGCCGGTACTGGGTTATTAACTCCCTGCATCGTAAATTTATTCTTTTTGCTCCGTTTACCAAATCGTAGTTAATTAATTTAAGGGCACTACCCCGATCCATTTTGGTCCACGGGGGATCCGAAGATCCCCAAGGTTTCCACGAAGTGCAGAGAAAAGTTCAGTTTCAGTTTCACCTGCACATCATGGAGCACCAGCGAAAACGCGCCCCTAAAGTAAAGCAACTTGGATCTGTAGGCCATTTTTTGTTAAATGTCTCGGATAATTATGAGCTCTATTTTAGGGAATAAGTTATAGAATTGAGTCGTTTTGGTTCTGGGACCCCACTGTATTTTTCTGGGAACCCAACAAACACTAATGAATTTATTCATATAACGTAGAGCTAATCCATTCCAATCGATTTACGGCTTCATAATTGTTCTTATAGTAGCCTGAGAAGTGCTTATGAGAGAGCTGCAGTTATTATAAGCGTTCATTGTGCCGATCTAGAGATTGTACCTCTCTTTTGAAGCCAAGTGGTTTGACATTTATGATGCCTCATTCTGGTTTCTATCTAACCAGTGATTTCCATTAATTCCATAATTTCCATTAATTCATTATTTGATGACTCTGCTAAGTCAGATTTTGGAAAACCTGCCTTGTAGACCTCATTTGTAGTAAAAAAGTCAGAATAAACGTTTACATTATTTACCACGTTCTAATGACCATTTCCAGTTTATTTAAATATACTATAAAATAAAATTAATAAAAATTAGTTATTTATTTTCTTTTCTATTTTTTTAGTTAGTTCCGGTGTGCCTCATACCATATATAAGGGAAATCAAAAGAAATACACAAAAGAATGTATACTCATATACGATAAAAGAACTGGTGATATAACATTAGAAAAATTAAATCACAACATACAAGTGAAGAAAACGCGGTAAGTTGAATATCGTAACAATCTACCTTGCTGGTCCGTGAGGCTTGACCTCAAGGATAAGGATGATAAAAATTAGAATTATATATTCGAATGATTATTTACATTTTTTGTCCTCTTTTACAGCGAAATGACAAACAAGCCAAGTGTACCTATTCCTTCGTCAATGCCAGCAGTTGGTGGTGGTGGCCATATTGGTGCTGCTTCATCAGCATCATCATCATTATCATCAACGGCGACGGCAAGCACAACAGGACCAGCGCCAAAACTAGAAAACAGTACAATGAGAATAACATCCAAAACAAAAGTTTCAACAGGCAATAGAAGAAATACGATAAGTGAGTAGCAAATAGAACTTTTATTACATAGATAGTTTTAAAAAAACATGTTTTGTTTTATTTTTTCTTTTTCAGTTGAGTTAAAGTCACGCAATTCCCCAATGCAGGGCTCACCATCGGCTGTTGTTAACCGAAGTCCTCAGTCGGCACCAGCGTATGTTATTTTGATATTATTTTCTAAATGTTTGCAACAGATTTAAACTTTTTGTCTTTTTCTTTCCTTTTCTTACAGTTGGAATGCCAATAATGGCCAGGCTACCTTACCTAGTATACCCATGATTGTTGATGATGATGATTCTATGTTTGGCATTGGTGGTGGTGGTAGTGGCGGTGGTGCTGCAGCTGGTGGCGGTCTTAATTCCGGTGGCTATAATAATAATCTTGCTAATGTCTCTGCCTCATCATCCTCCTCAACATCGAGTCATAATAATTCTGGCCAAGAATTTGATTTTCAACAATTGCTCCAGGGTGCTATATCATCACCAACCAAACAATCAAAACAATCATCGTCATCACATCACAGTAATCAAAAACGACACAACAATCACCAGCGGCAACAGCAGCAGCAACAACAACAGTCTTCACAAACGCAACAACTACATCAATGGCAACAGAATCTGCAACATCAGCAACAACAACAGCAGCAACAAACACAAAATTCATATAATCGTTATAATGGCAATGGCAATTCCTCTTCTTCCTCATCGTTATTTAGTAATAATCATCATAGCAATAATCTACAGAATAGCAATCATAATAATAGTAGCAGTAATAACTATCATCAAACTAACTATGATATTGCCTCATCGCCAACACTGGCCATTGAAGCAGCAGCTTTGGAACAGGTATGTAAAAAAGCTATGGAAATTATTTTTTTTTTTTTGTGAAATAACTTTAAATTATGGAGGATATAAAGGATATAAATTAGAGTAAATTTTGGGTGTAAGAATAAAGTTTAATGCTATCGGACGCTTTCACAGCACACATCATTCTAGACTCATTTCAGTGCGCTGCGTCAAATTTCGTGCAAGTCGAAGGATATATAGGGACTTTGGTGCACCATTTACATTAAATCGGACGAAATTATATATGGATGATATATATATATAAATCAGACTCGATTTTCACGAAACTTAACACACATCATTGTAGACTTAATTCAGTACGCTATGCTAAAATTCGTGGAAATCGAATGAAATATCGGGACTTTGCAGCACCATTTATGTTAAATCGGACGAAAATATATATGGGAGCTATATCTAAACCTGAACCGATTTTCGCGAAACATAGCACACATCATTTTAGTCTCAATTCAGTACGCTATGCCAATTTTCGCGAAATCGAAAGAAATATCGGGACCTTGGTGCACCATTTACATTAAATCGGACGAAAATATATATTAGAACTATATCTAAATCTGAATCAATTTTCCAAATAAATGAGCTGTGCCAAATTCCATCCAATTCGGATTTTAAATACGACCTGTACTTTGTTTATAATTTAACATCAACAGAAGACCGTAAATATTTTTGGTCCCAGCTGGCGTATATTTCGAAGTCACTTTTAGAAGACAATAACTGTCTGATAGAGGGACAAATCGGTAGATCCAAATCTTGTACGGAATTAGGATGCCCCACCTGAATATGGGCCGCACTTTCCTTGACCATAGGAAAGCAATTGGCAAGAATTGGGAGAGTTCGCCTTCACATAATATTTCTTCTTAAGTTCTGATAGCAGAAAATAATTATCTACACATTATTACCGCAGCATGTTTACCTGCTGGTCTAATACCCGAGAGGAGACTTAATTAAACATCAGAGATATTCGTGCTATTTATGAGCATGATGATAAGCTTTGTAATTCTAACCTGTAGAATAGACGATTAGTAGAGGAGCATAAGCGGAATAAAAATGTGTCATCTGAAGTGTTAGGAAAATAGAATGATAGAACTCCAGTGATATTTAACGACGGAATGATGACTGACTAAAATATTTAACCGACAGCATTGTTTCCAAATCCTCAAATTGGCAAGTGGTTGCGTTGACCGAAGCCAGACGAGGACGCTAGCCTATAGAAACGAACATTCTTTTCCAACATAAAAGTTACTACTCTATAGAAAATATTTTTTTCTATAGAAAATATTTTCCTATGGTTTAGAGGCTTTTTTCCTATATCAAATATCAATACTCCTCAAGCCCTCTCGAATTATTTTATAGAAAAATCTTTCCTAGTATTAGAGAATTTTTTTAATTTTTTTCCTATAAAAGTTTTACTCTGACCATTTTTTTTCTACTGACCAAAAATGTCTCTCTGGCTCAGAAGAATATTTTTCTGTGAAGGAAATCTTTCTCTGGGCCAGAAGATTTTTTCTTTAGAAGAAAGGCTTTCTCTTTAAAAATGGGGAACTCATCTATTTTGTTTTCGGAAGAAAATGTCTCCGTTTTGGCCCATAACAAAATTGTCTGGAAAAATCCTCATTTTTTCTTTTAAAATAGATAAACATTTTCTATCACTTAGAAAGACTTTTCTATATAGAAATCCGTTCCCGGAGTAAGAAGCTATCGAAAAAAACCCTCTAGCCTAGGGAAAGATATTTTTCTATTTAGAAAAACACTCTGGCTTAGAAGAAGACTATTTTCTTGAGAAATAAAATCCTCCGGCCTTAGGAAAATATTTCTTACGTCTCCGAGGAAACCCTTCTTTTCTATGTTAGGTTAGGTTAGGTTTTGGGATGAGAGCAGGACTGGGCAACGACACAGGAGATGCTCAATTGAATCCGTCTCCTCCTCGTCAACGCAGAGTCTACAGTAATCAGAAGCATCACGGTCCCATTTACTGGTTCTGGTTGCACTAGGTTCGTTGTGCCAAAGTTCATAGGCTCTTTCGTCGAAGAACGCCTTAAAGCTCCGATAAAGATGACATATGGGTGGTTTGATTGACCCATCAATTGCTAGATCTGTAGATTGAGATCCTCGTCTATCTAATTCGTCTGCTCTCTAATTACCCATGATGTCACAAAACCGATAGCTGTATGTAAGTTCTTCCAATACTGTTCTACACTTGGGGACGACCTCAGATTTGATACTACAGGATTTGATGGCTTTAAGAGCCGCTTGACTATCAACGATCTCCAGATCTTATATGAATTCCGCTGCCTTCCAAATCGCGAGGAAAGCTCAAGGCCTAGCCTTTCACAGTAGACGCCAGCCCCTGTACCTTCTTCCATCTTGGATCAGTCTGTATATGGTGATATATAGTCAAGTTCAGCATTGCGTTCAAAGCTGCTTGTGGGGTGCTCCTCGTGGCTCCTGTTGTACCTTATCTAGTTTGCTTAATATATAATAACTTCCTGAGGCCATACTGATTGATTTAATCTTTTGAATGAAAACCCTAAGGAACCTATGGACTACTTTTTGTATAAAAAAACATTTCTCACTTGCCGTCGTCAGGAACTATCAAGATCATGGGAAAACATTAATTTCCCTAAGATTTTTTTGTAGAAAAGAAATCGCATTTAACGCCAAATATGACAACCCAAAATACTCGTGTTCAAATTCAACAGCATGTCATAGCTCTTGGAATGCATGTGAACTAATAAAACTGTGAACCTAATAAAAGAAAATATCATATCAAAAGGAGCTATAGGTTTTAGATATGACAATTTTTTGGTTATTTATCGTATATAATTAAATTTCGGAGAGTCGCATATAGGAAACTTTATACTCTTTGCTCTTTGTTAATAATATTCTCTTCTCTTTTACTATTTACAGAACATTGCATCCGATTTAAGTTCATCCAGCTCAAGTTCAGATTCTGAATCTAGCGGCAGTGAAAGTGGCTCCGATTCCGATGACAGCACTGAAGATGATCGACCACCCACAAAGGCTGCGGCGGCACAAATGATGAATCAATTGCCCAATTTGGGTAATGCACCATCTTCGCCGCAAATGCATTACAATCCACACACAAACAGTCAAAGTAATCATCATCATCAGAATCATCTCAACAGCAGCAGCAACAACAGTCATCATCATCAACAGCAGCAGCATCAGCAAAATTCCGAAACAAATAATTCAAATTCGCTTGGTAACTTTGGTTTCAATGATGGTTTTCCCAATGATTTATTGCAAAATGATTTACAATTGTCATCGAATTCATCGGATGATGATTCGGATTAGATGGGATATAATCATCCCAACCCTTTATGGTTAAAGAATACAATTCTTTAGGGATATTAAAATAGAAAAAAAATGGAAAAAAACCAAAACCATTCTCTCATACACCTTTTCATACTCACACACACACATACAAATTCATCTCAGTTGAAGAAATAAGAAAAAAAGGATAAATGAAAAAAATTATCACACTAACACAAGCTCACCTGCATACACTCACACACCCACAGCCACTCAAAAAACCCCAAATACTTTTAGTATATTTTTGTAAAAATAATTAAAGAAGATTAAGACAAAGAAACCATATAAAATATATAGATAATAATTATAAAGAAACAAGAAAACTAAAATCGAAAACAAATGTGTTTATAAAGCAGCAGCAAGAAGTAATAATTTTGTAAAAAAAAGATTTAAGAAATGGATAGAAATATGGGCGGGGAACAACAACAAATAATTACAATTTTGTATGAAAAATTTATAGTTAATATTTTAAACAAAGCAAAAACAAAAAAAACTGAAACTAATTAATTATGTTGATAAAGAAAAGTTGTGTTTTTTAAATAATAAAAACTTTATTTTTTATTGCCTTTTAAACAAAAAAAATCTATTGTTTTGTTTTTTTCTTTATTTTATTTTTCTAAGTTAATTTAGCTTCTGCTCCTTTCCAATAATTTCTATTTTATTTTTACATAAAAATACAACCATATAAATATTATAAATATAAAACAAAACAAATATATATTTAAAATATAAAAAATAATGTGAAACTTATTATTAAAAGTTAAATAATGGTGTATTTTATAGTTTTTGTTTGTTTTTTATTATTATTACAATTATTATTATTAAATTTTATTAATGATATTTCCGTTTAATTTTAGTAAAATGTGTTTTTATGTTCTTTAGTTTAAAACAAAAAAAAAAAAATCGATGAAAATTAATGGAGTTGATGCAAACCACGATAATAATTACAATGTATAGCAGAAAAGAAAAAAAAACAAAGAAGAAGGATGAACGATATTTTTTTCCACCATGTGTAGTTACAATTTTTATTTTAAAAATGTAAAAAAAAACTTTTTTAAACAATCTTCTTGTTAAAAGAACCAACCATTGTTGTGCTAAAGAATTCCTTTTTTTAAATATTTTCTTTTCTCTTGTTTTTTTCTCTCGTTTTCTTAACACACACATACATACACAAATTGCCAATACTTGATTCTTTTTATTCTTAAATATATTAATTATTATTAATAGTTTTTTTAATTTATTTTTTATTGAATTTAGTAAATTTAAGAGTTATACTTATGACAAAATAAAAACAACAAAAAAAAAACCTAATTAAAATCATAAATCAAGCAAAGCAAAGAATATATAAAAAAAGAAGAAACCTTGAACGAAGTAACAAATTATATGAGACCAGACGAAAAATAATGGATACAAAACAACAGCAACAAAATGAAAATAAAAAACAAAAATTTTACATATTCTAATAAATATAAAAAAAGAAAAAAAAAACATATATAACAAAGAAAATATATGGGCGTTGTTTTTTGGAAAGGACTTTGACAAATTAAAATTTTTGGTAGTTTCAAGGCCTATATAAGTATGTAATAAGTAAGCGAATTCTTAGAGAAAACTTAAGTATAACGTCATTTTTTTGTCGAGGCGAAAACTAATTGTTTCGCCCAAGATTCAAACCTTGGTTTTGCCTTTCAATAAAAAACACAACCTAAACAGATCACAATTTAAAATTTAATTTGATTTGTAACATAATTTAATTTGAATGATGACAAAATATTAATATTTTCGTTTTGACGTCTAACATCATTATATAGGTAGGTAATAGGTTTCAAAATATGATTTGACAGGAAACTTAATACTCAGATGTCCTTACTATCCGACCTTATATAGGTCTTGATAAGTTTGAAACGTTTTTTGGATAATTCCAAAACCCCTAACCCTATTATAACTATTTTGAGATATTGGGAGGTGTGAATTCAAATTCATTATAAAGAGGGGATTCACATTTCCCATTATTTGTGACAATGATTTTATATTTTTGATTGGATACAAATTTATGTGACGACTCATCACTCCATTCGGAGTTCAAAAAAGACTAAGGATCTTTAATATCATATCCTTGTATCTCCTGCGAACAAATAGTAGTAGAAAATATAGCTCTGATTGTAAAAGTGTGATTTGAACATTTTTAGCACAATAATCGAACGTTTTTACAAAATAGTCGAACACTTTGTTTTTCTCGAATATAAAGAAGTTATGTGATTTTCTTTTCTTTAACAAATATATACAGTGCTGTTCAGTAAAATAGATTCACCTTCATTTAACATCTTTGTGGCCAATAAAACAGTCACCCCTATTCCGTATGTCGTCGTCGTTGTCGACGACGTTTCTCTTTCGACATCACTTCGCATCGACATCGACATCACTTCGACACTGATTTGGTATTCTGTAACACTCATGCGACGATGTCGACTATTTATCGATAATATCAATAAAAACAAAAAAATTGTTGCATATTTTTGGGCAAAAATGAGTTTGTATCCGTCACCTCACTGTGGCACAGGGTAAATGTGTCTGCAATGACCAAAAAGAAACGAGATAGACCCATAGTTTCTTTTTATTATATATGTACATAGAATTATTTTTCAGTCGATTTATGCATGTCCCTCCATCCATGTATTATTTTAAACAAGTTACATGCCACCATTATGATCCGAATGGGATGAAATTTTATTTGGCGCATAGACGATTCCTGTTGATATTGGTCAAAATCGGTACAGATTTATATATAGATCCCATATATTTTTCTTTATTTACACTTTATTTTGCATTAAGTATTGAATAGATTCTAGAATGATGTATCATGTTCTTGTCCAGTCATGTTTTTTTTTTTAATTTCTAAAAAAAATGTTCAAACGCTTCAGTCGTCAACAAAAGCTATGACGAAGAAATCTTCGACATCGTCGTCGTCATACATTGTTACGGAATACCAAAAATGTTTCAATAGTTATCGATAAATGTCGACAACGACATAGGGAATACCAATTTGCAAAAGACGACTCTCTTCGACGTCGTTTCGTGTCGACGACGACATACGGAATAGGGGTGAGTATATGAACGCGATTACAATTCTTTATTTTTTTGTTTTGGTAATATTATAACATAAATAACATAAAAAAGATATAAATCCAAAATATCTAAACTAAAAATCTACGTATTCATCATTATTATACAAAATCAGCGATTTTTTGCTGTTCAATAAAATAGATTCATTGACTTTGGCGTTCTGAAAAAAATTTGTTAGTAATTAAAACTTTATAACTCCTTTTACTTACACTTTGTTTACCTTAGTACTTAGTGGAGTATACCTTATTTTGAATGACTGCTTAACACCGATTTGGCATGGAGTCAACAAGTCTCTGACATGTTCCGATTGAAATGTTTTGCCACGATTCTTTTACTAACTCCCATAACTGTTCTTTATTTGATGGATTTTTTCCTCGTAGAGATGCTTTAACAATTTTCCATAAGTTTTCGATAGGATTTAAGTCCGGTGACTGTGCCGGCCAGCCTAAAACCTCTACGTCATTATTTTGAAACCAATCTTTAGCTCGCTTCGATGTATGCTTTGGGTCGTTAGATTGTTGAAATACTCATCTAAGCGGCATTTCCCATTCAGCATAGGGCAGGATGACGTTGTTCAATATATTCGTGTAATAAATTGGATTCATTGTTCCTTCTATTCTGTACCATGGTAGGTACAACATCCCCATACCATTATATTTCCTCCACCATGTTTAATGGGTTTTCTTGTGTATTGTGGAAGGAGATCGGTGTTCGGAGGTCTTCTTACGGTCAAACTACTTCTACCAGAGTTAAACAAATTAACTTTAGTTTCGTCTGACCACAAAATATATCTCCACTTATGCATGGGTCAATTTACATACTGCTTTGCAAATTCTAATCTTTTTTAGGTGTTGTTTGCATAAAAATGGAACTTTTCTGCTAGTTTTGGATTTCAAATTATTTCTGAGTAAAATCCTTCTTATATTCTTTTTTAATGGCAGAAGAGGATTTTTTTTACATGTCGAACTATTTTCCTTTCCATAAAGGGTGTGATTTTTGATTTTTTTTCTTCTAGTTTCTGTCTTAAACTGATAATTTACAGCATTTTAGATCATTTTATATGAGCAGCCGATAATGCTGCAATTTGTCTATAGCTCTTGCCTTCATTATGTCCATTTCTAGTTTCAATATTTTATTTTTTAATAGATTTATTTAATATAATTATTAAAAACTAATCAGACTTACCGTTTAGTGCAATAACTTTCAAACAACATCGTATTAATCTTAAAAATCAATTAATTTTTTAAAGTGAATCTATTTTATGGAGCACGTGTTCTCACAACAAAATCTGTATTTGCAATAAATTTAAGAAGACTGTCTCTTGCAACTTTGGAAATGTAAGGGGACTATATTCAGAGGAGATTAGTAAACAAAGTGCAGTTACTTTTTTACATATATTTCTAACAATGTGAGATTTAGAAGTGAAGAACTTTTTCGAGAGCAGGTGAATCTATTTTTTTGAACAGCACTGTACGTTCAGCTGTAATTAAAATCGGTGATTTTTAAATTTTTATTTATTTTTGAAGCCGATAATTATTTTTAAATAATAATATTTAATGTCGGGTAATGTGCGAGGAGGTATTCTATCCTCTGAAAACTCGATGTGCGAAATTACAGGTGCTTCGGGTGGATAATGAAGCAAGGAGCTTCAAAATACCACAAATGGGGCGGTACCCTTAAATGGGGGCTATTCCAAAACATTAACCCACATATTTTTGCATTCATTGTTACCCAAGAGTGCAATAAATTGAAATTTATCACAAACAATCTACAACCTACCTTTAACTTACTAATCCTCATTATCCACACATACTGGTCCACATTACCCGCCAAGTTATTTTTATTCGCAGTTTAAAGTTTTTTGAA